CTTTAGAACGGCACTGCATGTTCAATATAAACATATTATTATTATTATTATTACATCATGAAATGATTCTCTGAGCTTCTGATGTTTCAGGCCGAGGCCGAGATGCAGGAAGACGCCGTTTCTGAAGGACAGAAGATCCTGATCATCGACGACTTACTGGCAACTGGAGGTGTGTGTGAGAGAGAGAGAGAGAGAGTGAGAGAGTGTGTGTGAGAGTGAGAGAGACTGAGAGAGAGAGTGTGTGTGTGTGTGAGAGAGAGAGAGAGAGTGAGAGAGTGTGTGTGAGAGTGAGAGAGACTGAGAGAGAGAGTGTGTGTGTGTGAGAGAGAGTGAGAGAGTGTGTGTGAGAGTGAGAGAGAGACTGAGTGAGTGAGAGAGAGTGTGTGAGAGTGAGAGAGACTGAGTGTGTGTGAGAGAGAGAGACTGAGTGAGAGAGTGTGTGAGAGTGTGTGAGTAAAACCTTTTCACAATATTCTAATTTTGAATTTGGGGTTTTCATAAGCTGTAAGCCATAATCATCACAATTATAACAACTAAAGGCTTGAAATATCTCACTTTGCATGTAATGAGTCTATATAATATATTAGTTTCACCTTTTAAGGTATTTGGTTATATATATTTTGAGGAAAACACTCCAGGATGTAAACAAGCAGCAACGATGTGTGTGTGTGTGTGTCAGGAACGCTGTGCGCGGCGTGTGAGCTGATCCGACAGCAGAGAGCCGAGGTGTTGGGATGTTTGGTGCTCGTCGAACTCAAAGATCTCAACGGATCCGACAAGCTGAAGCCGACGCCGGTCTTCTCTCTAATACAGTACTGACGTGTGTGTGTGTGTGTGTGTATCCACTCGATGCTTTACATCTCAGAAATATGAAGAATTACAATCAATTTAAATCAACACTTCACATGGGTTTGATGGTCTTAATTCCACCATGAGTTAGGAAAAGCAACGGGCTGCGTCTAAAATCAGACTTTTAAATCATTATTTTGTGGTAGTGATGAGAGAAATGAAGCTTTTTGAATCAATTGCTTGGCAAAATAAACTGAAACGGGCGCCCCCTGCTGGCCAGAACAGTGTAAACGCAGTCAGCACTCGCATAAAAACACCAGTTAATCTCTCAGATGTAATTAACAAGTCCTCTAATAGCAGTAAATATGAAGTGTCTGTAGAATGTTTTTAATTTGTCAGTAAATTTGGTTAATCGGACCAGTAAAAACTGATCTGAGATCAGGTAAAACTGTGGTTTCACAGAGATCACCGCCCCCTAGTGGTGAAACATTGACATTTCAAAAACGTAATGACGTCACGTGACTTTACAGGGTATCCGCGGGGTCTTGAAAAGTATTAAAGGTGATAAATCAATTTTGGGAAAATTAAGATCCTTAAAAAGTATTAAAAAGTCTTATCACGGCTTTATAAAGTCTTAAATTTTGAAAGTATTTTTTCTGAATTAGCTGTCCAACAGTTTGAGTCCCAAAAACATCGTAAAAGTGTGTGAATTTAGTCATTTTTATTTAAAAAAACGAAGAACTGAGGCACATGTCAGCATGATTGTTGTTGAGGGTGGAGCAAAGTTTTGTTTTTTAATAAACTTTGCTTTGATTTACTATCCCAGCCTATTTGATTTTTTTTTTTTTTATCAGAGTGGTCTATAGTCTTTATCACAAACTAAAACTGTTAAGTTAAAAGTATCACTGATGTAAATGGTTACAGCTTGAAGTGGCGGTGAGGTATTAAAAAATATTGAGAAGGTCTTGAGAAGGTCTTGAAAAGGTATTAAAATTAACTTCAAGATTCCTGCATATACCCTGCTTTAGCAGTCGCTCCGAATCACTGGTTCAGAACACAAATGATTCACAGAACGGTTCAAAATCACCACTAAAGTTCTGTATCGTATATATAGTTTGAGTTTGTGCAATCCATTCCCCACGTCATCATTGTCATGTGACCTGCCAGTTAAGTGAAGCAACGTGATTCACAATTCCTGTTTTATGGCCTCGTTGTGCAATTCTGAGTCAACTTTCACCAGGTCTTTAGACACAGTCGGTTACAGACAGTGCCTGATGTACAGAGAGAGAGAATCAAACACCATTGCTAGCATGAACTAGTTTATTGTAAATGATTCAATGCATTAATGTTGTAAATGATTCCTCCATGCTAACCAGTTACTTGTCAACATCCATGAACTTGTGCCAAGATGCAGAGAATGATGTCACCACCTCAGACAATCTCTGGGTTAAAAACGCAGTGACTTGTAAAATGCAAAGTATGAACAAATGAAACTAAAAATGAGAGATAAAATCCATAATAAAATATTGCACATGATCGTCTCGAGTCTTGTTTGCTTCTGCTCAGACACACTCCTCCTTCATCTTCTGGTTCAGGGCGTTCAGCACAAGGTTCAGGTCCGTGCTCTTGTTCAGCTTCAGGTACACGTCTTTCCTGATTGGGTGAATCGTGAGCCACGCTTGAGTCGACTCGGCCAATAGGCGAAGGTGCTTCTCCATCTCATCTAAAAAAAGAGAGAAAAACATGAATGAATGATCCACTAGCAACAACAAAAAAGCCCCATATTAAGAGCACTAGCTATGAGAAAACCTATTAAATATACAATAAATTTAATAAATAACAGCAGGCGAAGGTGCTTCCTCTCATCTAAAGAGAGAAATAAACAATATATGAATGATCCACTAGCATAAAAAATATATATTAAGAGCACTAGCTGTGAGAAAACCTACTGAACCATAAAAACAATTAAATATTTGTGATCTTTTATCATCACGATTAGCATATCGTGAACTCAAACTTGACTTTTTTGTGGATTGCAGCGTTTATTATACATTGTTTGTGCGGTAGGGCTGTCAAAATCAAAAGCTAAATTCAAATTTCTCTTAAATATTAGCAAAAATCAAATTATATTTGAATTCTAAAGGATTTATAGGAAAAAAAGTTCTGTATTGTCTCTTATGTCCACAAGCGAGCGCAAGCAAATATAAACCAAATCAAGAATCACATATTTTATTGAAAAAAGTAAATGCACTTAAACTTGTTCTTCAATAAAATATAATTTCCTTAATGTGCTTGCAAGGAAAATGAGGTTACAATAGTGCATTAAACTGTACGTGCATCAGTAACCTGAGGAAAGTCAAACATTGATTGTATGTCTCCTTTATCTGAGGTTATTATCGCATTAAAAAGCATTATTTGTGGGTAATTATGCAAAATATTTAAAAAATGTATTCAATATTGCCAATTTATTGCTAATGTGCTTTAATGTTTAACCAGGAAGTTTGTTTTGAAACGCTTTAATTTTGTACAAAATGGAACAAACTTCCCGGTTAAACATTAAAGCGCACTAGTGTAATAAATTATACAAAATATTTACATTTTATTCAATATTGCTTTAAAATAATGCTTTTTGGGGTCAAAAGTCGAGGTGCATAAGCTCAGATATCGGAGGCATACGAACAAATAAGATCCAAAAATATATATAAAACATGTCATGATTGGAAAACAAGTTTTTTTTATTTTTTTTTATTCAATATTTGGTGATAATATGGAGTAATGGGAGATTTAGAAATATTTTTTTGTAGGCCGGGAACACCACAAGTGGGTGGGAATTTATGACAAAATTTAAAATAAATAAAGTAGTCATACTCTGGCTTAGTAAAATCAGAACATTTTAGTCCAATGCGATAATGTTCACTAGCATCTTCAGGACAAAGAAAATCCCCAAATGACCCGAACACAACCAAATATTATAATATTTTAATAGAATATATATTTCAAATATCTTAAAATAATCTTAAAAGGGTCTTATTTTCTTTAAAAAAGATATTAAAACGGTCTTAAAGGGATAGTTCACCCAAAAATGAACATTGTCATCAATTACTCTCCCTCATGTCGTTCCAAACCCGTAAGACTTTCGCTCATCTTCAGAACACAAATGAAGATATTTGATGAAATCTGAGAGGTTTCTGGTCACTCCATTGACGGCAACATCATTGACACTTTCAAGGCCCAGAAAGGTAGTAAAGACGTCGTTGAAATAGACCATGTGACTCCAGTGGTCCAACATTCATGTCGTTCTCCTTCGCTGTCGGTTCACACTTCATCAAGTGTAGGAGAATGACGTGGAAGTGAAGAGATTGCAGAATAAAGTCGTTATTTTAGGGTTTTTTTGCGCACAAAGTATTCTCGTCGCTTCGTAACATTAATGTTGAACCACTGGAGTCACATGGGGCTTTTAACGATGTCTTTACTACCTTTCTGGGCCTTGAAAGTTGCCGTCTATGGAGGGACAGAAACCTCAGATTTCATCACAAATATCTTCATCTGTGTTCTGAAGAGGAGCGAAGGTCTTACGGGTCTTGAGGGAGAGTCATTACTGACAGAGTTTTCATGTTTGGGTGAATATCTCGGCTTTAATTTCTTTAAAAGGGTCTTAAAATGAAATGTTTTATAAATAACTCGAATCTAGCTGTGAAACGCTGCACTGACCGGGGCTGAGCGGAGACCGGTAGCTCGCGATCACGCGGTTGCAGGCGAGCTCCATGAGGAGGGCCGGCTTCTTCTCCGCTACGAACACGTTGCGCAGGATCCGGGCTAGCTCCGGGAGCCGTGACATCATCACCAGGCGCCGCTCCTGCTCCGGGTCCCTCGTCATCGCGGCCCGCAACTTCTGAGCCTCTTTAGCTCGAATCTGAAGAGGGACAGATGCGGATTAGCTTCTTGGGAAACACACTTGAACCATAGACTGTTAAAACAAGATGGACGACACCCCTTTACTCTCTTCCATTGGTGAAAAGTGAAGACACCAAAGATTTGAGACGTGATATCAAGGTCCCGCAGAAACGGTTAGTACAGTTTACTGTAGAATAACTCATGTCGGTGTGAAATAAACAGTTATGAAATGTAGAAATTAAAGCACAAGCTTCCGAATCTCTTCCTGAAAATCCCCAAAAAAGTCCGTTGGTGCTTCAGTGACTAGGTTTAGAGAAGCTGTCAATCACGACGTCACTTTCAACACTTACATCAGCGTGATAAAAACTACCTAAAATGACAGAAAACCTATTTGGAAAAAAATTATTTGAAGTGTAATTTGGTTGTTTAGTTTCCCTCGCGTCGGTACTGAAATTTCAAAAATGTGATGCTTTGTCTCGTCTCAGACGGCCAAAATCGTACAGTGTAGGGATGGCGAAAACTACACATTTTCTTGACCGACCACCGAGCCTCATTAGCCGGTTGAAACCGGTTAACCGATTAGTTTAAAATATGCTACGCTATTTGAAATAACAGCCATTTCGAGCCGCGCCTGCAATTTCGCAACTGTCGCATCTCTCTCTGCCTCACACACACACACACACACACTGCCCTGGCGCCGCGCTTCCACTCACGTCACTTTTTTTTAAATCCCCTACAGCGCGAAACATGAGTCCCGCAAACGCGGCGCCGAGGAGCTTGTATGTAATCGGAGGACAAATGGCTCCTTAGTTTTGAAATGTTTGGCACAAGGTGATCGCGTTAAAAATAAAGGCGTTAGTCTAGCGTTAGAAGCGCATTTGAAACATTGCCGCGGCTCATTTAAGAAAATGACAGCCCCGAAGAGATCAAATCTGCCTCTCTCTCAAACCTGCGTCTCTTCGGGGCTGTCATTTTCTTAAATGAGCCGCGGCAATGTTTCAAATGAGCTTCTAACGCTAGACTAACGCCTTTATTTTTAACGCGATCACCTTGTGCCAAACCATTTCAAAACTAAGGAGCCATTTGTCCTCCGATTACATACAAGCTAGGGGATTTAAAAAAAGTGACGTTGAGTGGAAGCGCGGCGCCGGGGCAGTGTGTGTGTGTGTGTGTGTGTGTGTGTGTGTGAGCGGGAGGCAGAGAGAGATGCGACAGTTGTTTGAGGTAGTGCTAACAATAATAAAGAAAGATGATCATCATCACCTTATCTGTTACCACTGAAATGTAATATATTTCTACTGTATTACTACTGTATTTAAGCACTGTATCACACAAGATGCAACTTACTGTGTCATTCTTTTTGGTGAAACATTCTTTTGGCCCCACACACTACGTTTCTTTACACGCTTCATCCTGTCGTCTGCCCTGGCTCTAACCGAGTGTTTTAGCCTGTAGCCTTTACTTTTCACAAACCTTGTTAGCGCGTGAACCCAAACGCTGTGACCTCGCGCCAAATGTTTTTATTGGTTTATTAACCTGTTAAGCTTCAAGCCCACTTTTGAAAAATCCCCAGAAATGACATACCCAAACAGATGCAGTTCATGAACCCTTTGCACTAAAAGCACAAGTATGATCTCATTTGAAAGCTGACACCTGGTTGTTTATTGTAAATGTAGAATGAATTATTGTCATAATGAAAAAAACAATTTTAAATAGCTTCAAAGTTTTGTAAAGTTATTAGAAATTTATTTTTTTTAAACATCTTCATGAAAATAAAATTGAAGTTGGCCCTGGAGCAATCTAGAAATGCACTGCAGCTAAAGCCACATGTCTGACCATTTTATATTTAAAATCTGAAAATGATAAGTATAAAACTCTGTATTTAGTTAAATGTTTTTCAAGATCATGTCAAATTACTTTATTTTGATTAGACTATTAGCAAACTGATGTTTAGTCATCTTCTGAGTCATCTATTCAGTCTATTGTCTCTATTGTTTATTGTTTTTGTCTCCCCTGTACACATTTACACCTCTCCGGACTGGTTATTATGGCTCTAAATATGCATTTCTTTTGTCTGCATTATAGCTACTAACGACTGGCTATTCACAGGCTATTCATAGGGTTTCAAACCCTAATTTCTTTTATCAAAATTCTCACTAAATATTTGAAACTGGTATCAAATGCACTGAAACATTTCAGTAAGCATTCCTATTTAGAAAAAAATCATAAAACAATAACTGCTCGTGGCAGGTGCGCCTGGGCTCGCTAGCATGTTAGCTTAGCACACCATCAATACACGACCATTTATGAGATTAAAATTATGTTTGTGCTCCAAACTTACTATATAACGCAAGTCTAGTGTTTTAAATAATCTTCTGTGATCTAACTTGGCTTCATATTAAAAAAAAATCCGACAGAAAATGTATTATTTAGTGTTCTGAACGATGATGAAATCTATATCGATTAGCATTACATTATAAATATAATCTATTATTATGAAATACCTGGCATGGCTTGAAGAACACAGGTAACTCAAATATCATTGCAATCATGTTTATTGTCTTCAAAACATCTTTATCTGCATGTTACAGCGATCTCTGTACTTTCTGTATCACTCAGTGACGTCCTGGAATGTCACATGACTATGGGTCTTCTTCATGATCCATATATGGACTTTTATTGGACATATAGCGCCCCCATGCTATTGGTATGAATGGAAAACACAGCACATCTCAATAAGAAGCGATCATTATGATTACATCGACGCATTTGGGTATAAATTCAATAAATATTATTCCTGTCTATAGAAATATGATGTGAATCTATGAGAATATATCAATATTTCTCCACATCTGCACATTGTTGAGCTAAAAGCCCTCAGGGACGTTGTTTTGTGAATCGCTGTCATGACGACAGAACGGAGTGTTTTTTATGAATGGACCAGCTGACGCTCATAATTAATATTAAAGGTATCGACTCATTTTTTTCATTTCATAACTCCTGACACAAATTAAGACATAACTGTCACTATAAGTTTCTCAGAATACAATAGTGGTCAAATACTGAATCTTGAGTCTTATATCTTTTTAATGATGTATAGTTTGTCAAGGTATAACATTAAATCTGATAGTATATTTGAACTAAATAAAATAAAAAACGCTTCAGTGCGCCGACGCTCTGGAGAAGGTTAAGAGGTTAAGTACAAACAGGCGAGTTATGAAAAATTGAGTGTGAGGGATTTGTTCACTTCACACAAAAATATCTTGGAATGAGATGGCGAACTGTAGTAGCGTTTAGTCCACTGTCTATAATAGCCTAATTTAGAGATCACCTTTTTTTTTTTTTACCGACAACTTTGATCGGCTAACGTTGAGACGTCAACCATCGGTCAAACGGTCATCGGTTAGCATCCCTAGAACAGTGTGAACCCGGCTTTAGCTTTAGGAATCTGCACGTTCGAGTGTGTTTTCAGGGACTCACCCTCTCCAGCAGGGACTGAGAAACTCCTCTGAGCGCGCCGGGTGTTTCTGCTGGTTTCTCTGCGGCCTCGGGCTCTTCGGCACACACGCTCTCTGCGGTCTTCAAGGCCATGTTAGCCAACGCTTTCTCCATCTGGAACGAGAAAAGGAAATAACTCAGTGATGTGATGATCGGTTTAATTGACAGATCTTGTTTTTGAACACAGGGTTCGTACAAATACTGTAAAAATAAATGACAGGACTTTATGGACACCGGCCCGAGGGGGACAACGAGCTCTAGTGCGACTCGACCGAACTGCACGAGGCAGGTGTGAAAGCACTCTCGCTGAGCCGTATAGTCGAGGCGCTCGCTCACCTTGGGTGTCATGAGCGCTCGAGCTCGGTCCAACACCTCCTGAGCCGAGCTCAGCTTCTCAGTTTGAGGGGGTTGAGGCAAATCCCTGGGCTTGACGTTGGGAACCTCGTCCACATTGAACCTCGGATGCCAGCGGGTCAGTTTGTCATCGGGGACGACGATGGGAGGGTTTAGGGAAGCCAGGAACGTCTGGATCCAACATAAGACAACACATGATTGGAATTGGCAAAAAACTTAATATCCAAAACTCATCACAGGGTTCCCACACTTTAGTTAACCTTTCAAATACTTTCAGGTCCACGACACTCAAATTCAAGGACTAATGGGGAGACACATTTCAATGGAGAGCAAGGTTACCTTGTAAGATACACTACCGTTCAAAAGTTTGGGGTCGGTACGATTTTAAATACTTTTAAAAGAATTCTCTTCTGCTAACCATGGCTGCGCTTATTTGATTAAAAATACAACAAAAATCAGTTATAGTATTAAATATTATTCCAGTGTAAATCAGCTGTTTTCTGTGTGAATATATAGTAAAGTGTAATTTATTCCTGTGATCAAAGCTGAATTTTCAGCATCACCAGTGTCAGTGTCTTCAGTGTCAAATGATCCTTCACAAATCAGTATAATATGAGGATTTGATGCTCAAGAAACATTTATTATTATTATCAATGTTGAAACAGTTGTTGGTCTGTCAGTTGTACAGTTTTTTTTTTTTTTGGATTCTTTGATGAATAGGGTTAGGGTTAGAATCTTTTGTAACATTATAAATGTCTTTACCGTCACTTTCGATCAAATTATAAATTTCCTCCAAAAAATAAAAATAAAATTCTCACTGACCCCAAACTTTTGAACGGTAGTGTACATGGTTACCGTTTTTTTTTGCAACTTTTTTTTGCATTGATTTTTGGCCATATGACAGATCTGATATTCTATTTGTCTCATTTCTTTTTTGCATAAAACTGAAGAATATTTGGTACATCCTATACCGTATTCTAAAATGATCTGATATTAACTTTTGCATGAAACATTGAGGTACCTTCAACGTAGTTTAATGCGAAAACACTTAACGTAACGCGTAAATGCGCGTAACTAACGTGGCTAAAATCAAGCAAGCTAGTGCGCATAGGCCACAAAGTGCTGGCGAAATAACACATTAGCGGACCGGACGGATTAATATGGATTTTTTTCAATAAAACTTCTCGCACAAAATAAACAAGCACTTTCAAGGGCCTGTATCTATACATGTTTATTTTAAAAAACTTTCCAGGGCCTTGAATTATTTTTATTTTTTTCAGATTCACAAACTTTCAAGGACCCGTGGGAACCCGGTCATGATTGGAATTTACAAAAAAAACAATATCCAAAACTCCTGCGAGTAAACCAGCTCACCTTGTGGTGTCCCTTCACGATCTCAACAAGGTTTTGGTGAAAAATGCGCCTTCTTTCCAAGAGACGAGAGACCGACAACACTGGACGGGTGCCGTTAAACTCTGGGGAAAGAGACACTTTATTAAAATAAATAAACTGATTTATTAACTTAAACATGTGTGAGGGCTGCATGATTTGGGTAAAAAAAAAAAGTTGGTTCTTTTTGTAAAGACCAGTTCTGAATAGGATGATCCTTTTTATTTTACCTTAAAATTACTTATTTTGATTTTAAAAAAGCACCTGCTGTAGCATCTTTGTTTTACTCGTTGCATTTTGGAATCATTTATTTAGTTTCACTCACTGGAATAATTTATTTAGTTTCACTCACTGGTAAGACCTTTTTTCTTTTCACCGTATTTAAAAACAAAAACAAATGCTGATTAAATAGCCAAACATCGTTGTTTGGATAGTTTAATTCGTGTTGATTATGTTGTGAAATATGCAGTAGTTGCCTTTAATTTCACATGTTTACAGTTAATGCTTTTATTTAAGGCCATTTTTATGTAGTTTCAAGTTCAACCCAATTTAAAACAAATGCTAATGTCAGTACCATCCATGTTTGTATTAGATGAGCTTTACTGACGTTAATTTCAGATTGTTCAGTTATTGTTTTCAACCGCCAAAAGCCAGTTTGGCCTGTTAAATACCAAATAAACATCTTGTTTATGTATACTTTCATTCCTTCTTGTCTGTATCGGCCAGTTTGCGTGTTAATAATTTAATGCGATAGTCAGTGTTAATGTTCCTCACCTTCTTCAATGAGCGGCTCCACGGTGAGCTGATAGCTGGACCTCTTCACAGCGGCGCTGAACGAGGGGATGTTCTTCTCCTGGCGAAAGGTGTAGGCAGAAGGGTACACCTCCTTTATCTGCCCCAGGTGGCTCTCCTCAAAACGCCTGCGAGGAAAGCAGAACTAGGGTTACCCTGTGTGCAATTCAGCAGCAGCGCTTCATACAGCCTCTTCAACGAGTGTAAATCACTCGCATATGCGACTAAATCTTCACTCCGGGCGACTAAATGTCTATCATTAGCCATTGGCTAGTCATTTTTCCGATTTTACTCGCCATTGTGTGTGTAAAGGCTAAGTATAAGTTTAGCATACATGTATAGATAGACTATTTCAATGTAGCTCAATGGACGGATGCACAGCGTATCGTAAACTCTTGTGAAGGCGTGAGTGAGTGACATGTAAACGGTATTTTGTTGCATTTTTCTGTAAAAATAACGTTGTTCGTTTGGAATTATTCAGCTTTTAAGAGCTAGCAGAAGACATGGTGGTTTCTCCGGTGGTGGGCGGAGCTAATGCACAAACGACAATCTCATTGGCTGGAGCTCATCCCTGTTTTGATTTCAGCAAATCAGTTTGCGTGAACGCTGAAAACGTGATTAATATTCATGAACCCAGCAGCTCATCAATTTTTGTATATATAAATATAAGTGCTGGGCAACGATGAATCGGGATTAATTGCATCCAAAATAAGTTTGTTTACATGATATATGTGTACTGTGTATAATTATTTTGTCCGGCAAGTAACCTAAATAAATGACTAGCCAATGGTGATTCTATTGCCACGGTGTGTGTAGAGGGTTGACTCTTACTTGTGCATCATGTCTTGGACCCCTTGCTTGACCTTGGCGAACGTGACCGTCTCGGAGCGGTTGAACAGCATCCCGACGATGGTCTCCGTACTGCGAAACATCTCGGACAGGAGTCTGTAGTGGTAGGGCAGGGTGAGCCCGGGCGGGACGTCCCGAGCGAGGGTGTGGAAGCGCTGATAAGCTGGAAGCTTCTCTCTGAAACACACACAACTTCAGCAACAAAACACACAAAGCATCTCTGAGGTGTAGAGTTTATTAAAACATGAGGGTTAGTACATGACAATTTAAATTTTTTGGGTGAACCATCGCTTTAATCAACAAATAGTAGGGGTGGGAATCTTTTGTAATCCCTCAAATTGATTCGATTTAAAATCTGTGATCAAATCTATGCATATATCAAATTGAAATTTGAGTCAAAATCGAGAATTGAGCAGCGGCTACTGTTAGTCCCAATCGAGCTGGAGATATTTAGTTTAAATAATACACACCTCAATACATTTTTGGGTGAACTATTGCTTTAAATCAACAAATAGGTTGTGGCATTTCAGGGCTCGACTTCAACGCTTGTCCGGGAGAGGTTTCTGTGCCTCCATAGAAGGTAACGTCATGCAACTTTCAAGGCCCAGAAAAGTAGTAAAGACATCTTTAAAACAGTCCATGTGACTCCAGTGGTTCAAATGTAACATTATGAAGTGACGAGAATACTTTTTGTGCACAAAGAAACCCCCAAATAACGACTGTTTTCAACAATCTCTTCACTTCCACGTCAGTCAGTGTCCTACGCTGGTGACGAAGTGTAAACCGTGCAGCACTTGTTAAATGTCATTGCAAGCTTTTATGAAAGTTGAATATATATTTTTTTTAAAGCAGCACTTCCTGGTTATACGTCAGAACGCCGGCTCACTATTGGCCGGGTCCTGTATGTGTCGATGAACAAAGGTTTTACAGGTTTGGATTTTAGGGGGAAATGACACTTTAATGCCGAGCCCTGCATTGGGTAAACAAACACACAGGCATCGGCCAGCAAACCTCAGTAGATTTACCAAATTTTTTATATCGGTGCATCCCAATTGATAAGGTAAAAAAAAAAAATTAAATAAATAATTCCCTCATAAAAGTTAAACACCCTGGGTTAAATATCAACAATATGCAGATTTATTATCTGTGAGGTAGTGCTAACAATAATAAAGAAAGATGATGATCATCATCACCTTATCTGTTACCACTGAAATGTAATATATTTCTATATTATAGAAATATATATATTTCCCCCCCCCCCAGACAAGTGAATAAAGCCCAAGTACGAGACTAGGCTTAAGATCCTGGCACACTGAGTCCGAAATTTTCATATGGGTTTTTTCGTATTGGTCACTCGATGGCTCTGAATTGTCAAAACGCCATTCAAAATGCTTGTTACGGTTGCGAAAAACGCAGAAAATCGAACCCGATCCGAATTTTTATATGACGGACGAAAGTTTCGGAGGCAGTGTGCAAACGTGATTGACAAAACACGGTCGTATTTATTTTTTAACATGCAAAAAAAACCTCACCTTTCCTCTGGTTCAGGCCTAGCCTGCGCCTCCGTAGCGTTAGCATCCGTCGCAACTCGCTCGGCCTTTCTCTGCTGAACCTTTGCGGAGATCTCGCGTGCAGCGTCGAGCCTCGCTTTCAGCTCCGCTAGTGTCGAAACGGGAGCGGGCGAGGGGTTCGCTACGGCTTCGGACTGTCCTTTCAGTTTCTGCAGCTTCGACTTCAGCGCCGACACGTCCTCTCGAGAAAACGTCTTCTGAAAGAACACAAGCGGTGTGATTAGCGAAGCTCGAGAACACCGGGAGGTTCCTGAAGACCCCCGCGTGTTCGTTACCTTGCTCCGGCTCGTCCGCGTCGGCCTATCGTCTCCACCAGGGGAGATATTTGCATTGTGATTAACAGTATTTTTTGAGTCTTTGCTGGCGGTTTGTTGAGGAGCCTGAGCGATGCCGTTGGACAAAGGCTCAATGCGCTACATCAAGATAAGACAGGTTGGATTAGCAGTCATTAAAACCACATCAATACACAAATGCATTCACAGAACAGTAAACCAATGTAGCCTAGTCTACTTCACCTAACATACTTGAACTAAAAATATACATTAGCACAACATGCTAATGAAATTAAAAAATCTATTAACTTAGATTATACTTAAAAACTTGCATAACTTGATATTCACAAAATGGTAAATTATTCAGAATTCAATTGTTTAATCTTTAAAATTTTCCATTCTCAAAACTTTTGTGGAATGGCACAGACCGGCGACTATATAAACGGAGAGGCTGCGCATCAACAATTTCTTATAATTTAACTGATTTAATTAACTTTTCACACATTTATGAAACCCTGAACTAGTGTTTAATCATGTTTTTTTTGTACTGTTCCTGTTCAAATAAACAAATAAAAACTTTAATAATTCTCTCGTGTTTATTTTTTATCAATATTGGTACAATATTGTACCATTCACATCACATCATTATAAACAAATTACATTAAAAGTAATATAAAAGTACTTTTAAAAAAGTAGTCGGATTACATTCTTTTTATAGAAAAAGTTACGTTAGATTAAGATAAATTAATAGATTAAGTTACGTTACTAACTACCATTTATAATCATGTATAATTTGCATTTAGTAATGCAATACAATTTGTAAGTAATGTACCCAGCAATATTTATCTTTTCGGTGGATTACTGAATAAAAGAAAAATCCGATTAGCTTTTTTTTTGGACGATTGAAGCGAAATACTATTCTATAGAAAATGTTAAATTAATTATTATCCGTTTAAAGTTAAGCAATATCAGTTTGTAATGAGTCTAACGCATTGACTGTAAAAAAAGTCTAAAGTAACGTTAATACATTATGGCCATTTTAAATGAATGTACACATTCGGCATTTGCGTCGCGTTTTACCAACAATGTGTGTAATGGATTACGTCACTAACAATTTTTTTAATTCAATTCACATTTATTTTTTAATTTAATTTATTTTATAATCAAGGATAATTTGTATTCAATAATGAACTACAATTTATAAGTAATCTACCCAGCAACCTCGTTTAATCCCATTAGCTTTGTTTGTTTGTTTTTTAGACGAATGAAGCGAAATACTTAAAATTCTATAAAAAGTTTAAAATTAAGAATGATCAGTTTAAAATTAAGCAGTTTTTTAAAGTAATGTGCCAAAAAAAGTAGTACATTAGAGACATTTTTAAATGGATGTAACGTTGTTTATGCGTCCACGTCGCGTTTACTGAGCGTCGCGCTTTCAAGATAGCGTTTCAAACACACATTCTGTTTTGAACGCAACATTTAGCGATGGATACCTGCTCTTTATCGTCATGTTTCAGCAGATCGAGCCTCTTCCTCGCGGTCTTCGGAACCGTGCGGTCCTGTGGGGAAGTTCTGCCGAGTCTCAGGCGCTTCTTGGCGCTGCTGTGCTGTTCGGTTGTGGACGGGAAAACCACCGAACACACGTCGAACTCCGCCAATGTCCGTTTAGGGGTTCGGGGACTCGCCGTTAAGCTCACACTACTCACATCTGTCGCGGTTTCTACCGTGTCTGCTGACAGAACCTCATCGATGACTTTGAGGAACTCCTGATGAACGTGTTTCTGCGGTTCTGGTGTTGCGGGAACGCGCGAAGACCGTGTGGCTCTGGACGATGATCTTGGTTTAGCGAAAACCGCCGAGTCTGAAACGTCCACGGGCAGTTTTTGTCCCTTCGACCGGCCAGATCGACCAACACCACCCTTCTTATTCTGTGCAAAATAATCGGTAACCCGCGCTTGAGCCATTCTTCGGTACGAATGAGATCCGTGGCGTGAAGCAATTGTTATTATCCCACAGGAAGTTCCTCTCAGCGTCTTCTTCCTAGACTAACTTTCGCGCGAAATCGGATCACGTGACTTATGTAGGCAGAGCCTGGCTTTTAACCACGCCCCTAACCCGCTGATCAAACACTCGCAAAACTGACTGTAAACATGATAATATTGGGTATCATATCCACAATAAATAATAAACACTTTACGTTTACTAATTTGATTTGGCTCCTTGTGTTATTTTTATATTAAAAATATATTTTATTCTACTTTTTACCACGTTTAGCAGTCATTTTGGTGGTTGGGTCTTGGATTGATGGGATTATGTTGGCTCTATTGTATTGTAAATTTGCATTTCTTAGGATAAATCAATCATTTTAAATTAGTAACAATGTTAATCATTTAACAGCAAGTGTGACTGTCAGCTGCAAAATAGTATGCACATATTCATCATTAATTGCTTTTAAATGTACTTTCAGCTGGAAATTCTCGATCCAAGAAAAAAAAAGTGGATTAAAGGGATATTCACCCCCAAAAAAAGAACCTTCTGTCATCTTTTACTCACCCCCAAGTTGTTCCAGACCACAAAATAAGATATTTTGCAGAATATGGTTAACCAAACAGTCCTGAGGCACCATTGACTTTCATAGTTTGGAAAAAAACAATAAAATTAAAACTTTACTCTCGTCTAATGCAAAACAAGACTGCTCGTTACCCAAAGTCAGCACTAGATGGAGCCAACATAAAGGGTTACATATATATATATATATATATATATATATATATATATATATATATATATATATATATATATATATATATATATATATATATATATATATATATATATATATATATATATATATATTTACTACAGTCTATGGGTTACACACAAGCCTGTTAGTGGTGACAATTAAACAATTTGTTTCTTTTCAACGAATAAAATCCGAATATATCAGTTTTTCTACACTGAACTGACACGCGCGGAATAAATAACGGTCACATTTATGGCACGCGCACGTTACACTTCTGCACATCCTCAGTAACGTAACCACCACCACATCGTTTTATTCACAATCACACATGATGAACACGTGTAGGCTATGAATGGCGTGTGTGAACACAAGTTATGTGTTTAATACGGTTTATTTAATTGTTATGAATTTTGGCTTGTCTGTACAATCTAAAAAAAATTACTGGGTTGTTTCAACCCATGTTTGGCTCAAATATAGACAGACCGTTGGGTTTAAAAGTTTAATTTAAAAAATGTAAATCAACGGTTAAAACTTTTAAACCCAACGGTTGGTTTTGTCTACATTTGACCCAAACATGGGTTGAAGACAGAGCTTGTAAAAAATAACCAAAGGTATGAAATAACACGAAAAGTGTGTATAACAGGTTTTCCTCAGCTTTTGGAAGTTGAAAAGCCGCAATTCTGCGAGTGACACTCGAGTGGCTCCTCAGGGAGCGCGCGCGTCGGGTTTCTCAGCTGAAAGTGACGTTACTCGTTTGGCACAAGTTATCTATCGTCAGAGTGGGAGTTTCTTTCAACTAACTGTTGGGACGCATCTCGGACTAAACTAAACTCTCCTTATGAGTTTTATGACACTGTATTATCCAGTTTGTGGACTTATTCTGGTGAAGTCGGAGCTGATTCGTTTCAGAACGGAAGAAAGACTGAAGAAAGTTGAACAAACACCGAGGCGGTGAATCACATTTTCCATGAAGATGTACAATGAATAATCGCCTCTCATAAAGCCGTTTTTTTTAGTTTTCAATCGAAAAACTAGTCGTGTTTACACATTATTCGTTCATTTGAGTGTTTAAGAACGCTTTACAGACAACGTTGGGAGTTAGTGATGTTTTAATAGTTCGATGGTCTACAGTTCTAGTCGTTTAATCGTTCAGAAACTACGTTTTAATGTTATTAAATTGGTGTAGAATATCGAAAGGCTTTATTTTCGCCATGTAGCTTGTTTTCCACGCTTCTGGGAGATGTGGATTTGTGTATTGGGAGGAATGTGAGTGGAAGTGTTTCTCATGGAGCTTCAGGTGTTGTGTGGATTGATCTACTGCTGTTTGCTGCCCGTCTTTCTACTGGCAGGTAAGACATAAACATGGATAAATACAGTCAAACAAATCTTGTTTTTATTAAACACCTAATGACATTTGCTTTCCAACTATTGCTGTAAGTATTGAGCGTCAACAAACAAGAGGAAAAAGTAGGAATCTGTTTTAAAACTCCAATGACAAGTTTTTAAAAATGCGTTTCCAATCGTGTTGGTTTCTTACTTTTAAAACTGTAAACAAAGTAACAAACAACATAATTCAAAAGCTCCAGAAATATCACGTGGTCTATCCATGAAACTTTTGAACCATTCCTTACACTTTGAAAACACTTATACTTATATTAAATAATATTTTTATGTTTAAAAAAATAACTAAAATGTGTATACTGGACACATATAAGTGCTGTCAAAAAGATTAATCGCGATTAATCACATATAACACGAAGGTTTGTATAGCCTGTGTGTGTGTGTGTGTGTGTGTGTGTGTGTGTGTGTGTGTGTGTGTTACACTGTAAAATGTTGCTGCCTTGCATTTTTAAGTAGTCAGCTTGGATGTGTAAGTCATTTTAAATTAAATTACATTCAACAGACTTAAACAATTAGTTACATCTTGTATAACTTATAAAAGAGTTGAAAATTGCCTTACTTATTTTGACGAGTTAAAGCAATGTAAAAACATACATTGTCATAATATTTATATATATATATTTATATAAACATACCATGTATACATACTGTCCAATAAACAAAGTCGCAGTTTGGATTTAAATAGGCAAATGCTTAAAAGAGTCTATGATGGGATCATTATTGCAGTGATTTTTATGTTTCTATCGTGATATATGTTTGGCACCAGTTCTTCTAACTCTAATTGATGGAGTGTGTAGCTTTTCATTTCTTAAACATCCATGTATGAAGAACATCATGGCCATATTCCAGGATGACAAAGCCAAGATTTATCAGACTCAAACTGTGAACGAATGGTTGTGAGGAGCATGAAGAGTCATTTCCACACATGAATCGGCTCCTTAAACTCATTGAAAGTCTTTGGGATGTTCTGGAGGAGGCTTTACAGAGGGCTGGACTCTTGCATTGGCAATACAAAATTGATGCACATCTTGATGGAAATAAATGGTGCATCGGTTTTTGTGTGTATATGACGTCAACTCTGGAATCACCGGAGTTTCACTTCATTGCTCGAATGATTCCCTCACCTTCCCTCAGGTGTTTGCTTAACAGACACGCCCGAACGGCACATTTCCTCCGGGCCCAAACTTAAACTAAACTTATTTCAGCATGATCATGCATTCCTGCAACTCACAGCTGTTTTCCTTCTTCTCAGACCTGTTTTCCCTCACAGTTCTTTCTCTGCATCATTTACAGAGCTCACATACTTTCATGCTTGTGTTGTTTTTAACCGTCACCTCCCACCGAGAGTTCAATTATGAGCTTTTCACGCTTGAAGTTGTTAACCTAGGGTCATAGTTCTTACTGGGTTGCTAATTAATCCCGTCGTTTCAAACTGGGCATGTGTAAAACCTTGGTTAACATTCTCAGTTCCTGATTTACAACGTTCATAACATTAAATGGCATGTAACCTGTTTTACTTACTCATTGTGGGGAACAATATGGACTTGAGTTATGGGTCTTGTCCATTGGTTTCATGTCGGCCCTATATCTGAATTAGCTCGTATAAATCTGAACATTGGCTTCACTATGAAAACAATATGTGTTATGAAATTGGCTGAAAATATCATACATGTTTGATCTCCTCCGACTGGATGAATCATTCTGAAGCTAAAATAAATCAGTGTCTGCATTTTTTGTTGTTGTGAAATCTGTCAACACCGACGGCCCAAAACTCAAAAATGGTTTTGATTTTTAGCAACTTGCATTAAATCAGGACGAAAGTCTTGTAGAGTATTCCAGTTTTTAGGCTCACAATGTTTTTGGCAAACCCTGATCAATTCCCAATGGATAAATCAAATCCTACTCTTCAGTTTTACTTTTGGAAAAGCATCTAAAGGAAGAGAAATGGGATGTGAATGTCTTTTTATGATTATTTTACTGGGATGCTAAAACTAAACGGTAGCAATGCATGATATATCGGCTACCATAATATCGGTATCGGCCGATATATGTTCATTTTTTAATGTTATCGGCCTGATAAAAAGATTTGGCCGATATCAGGGTGGCCGCGGGTCCTTAAAAAGTCTTAAAATGTCTTAAACTTTTCCCAATAAAAGGCCTTAAAAAGTATTAAAATGTCTTAAATAAAGTTTTCCTAATAAAAGGCCTTAAAAAGTATTAAAATGTCTTAAATTCAGATTCGATGGGCCTTAAATATTTCTGGTCACATTACCGCTAACATTTCTCCAGTGTGACGGACCCAATGTCCGTCAAATAACCAGTGAAGCATCGAATCGCAAGAATGATTATGATTTATTACATAAACAGCGATTGATAATGATGATGTATTTCTGGTAGTGCTGTTGAGACTCGCCCGTCTCTGTGAGAGAGTTTATAGTGAGAAATCAAAACAAACGAGCATAACCGCACACATAAAAAAAATCACAGAAGAAACATACTGAGGTAAAAATTCAAAATGTTGAGTTTTTTTATTTACATATGATATAGTTAAGTAACATAACATTACGGGAGCTATTTTGCTGAATATTCTCACGATTGCAAATGTAACATTGATTTTAGTTCAATAAACAAGTAGTTAATATTAAATTACTTCACTGACTCAGACTTAGGTAACTTCACTGAAATTACTTCACTTAAATATTACATATACGTATGTCATATAATGTGTATATCCATCACAGGTTTGGTCTTAAATTTCATTCAAAGTGGCATTAAAAAGATCTTAAAGTCTTAAATTTAACTTGTTTATATCTGTAGACACCCTGGATGTATTAAAGCCGATAAATAATGGATTATTTCCTTCAGCTGAGACGCTTCAGATGCGCACTGTTCAACATGATGGTTTTGAGTTGCTTTAAATATGATTGGAATCACTTCAAAAAAGGAAAGTAAAAGTAAAAGCGCAAGTCTGTCATATCGGCTACATAAATTAATTATGATGCATTATATAATTGTGTGCTTGAAACATGGATTTTCATGGTGAGACTTTTGTTTTTGTAATCAGGCTCTCAAAAATTATCTAAAAATTTGGATTTCGATTTATCGGCCAATATATCGGTTATCGGCTTTCAAATGTAAAGAATTATCGGTTATCGGTATCGGCCAAAAATGTTCATATCGGTGCAAACCCTACTAAACCTCATGTGCATGGATATTTAATTAGGCAAGCATTGTTTACGTTAGAATTGGATGAAATAATTTGCCACATTGTTTCACCTTTAATAGTAACATATTTAGTTTAGTGAAGCCAGAGTTAACAGCTGTGCTAAAAGTATGAAACCCTGAAATTAACATTATAGCACAGGATTGAGCGTAGAGTGTGAAAAGCCTCTGCCAGATCGGTTTCTATATTTAACATTTCTCCCTTTACTGTAAAAGCAACAAACCTGTTGAATGTTATAGGCTGAATTCCTGGTGTTTCATAAACAGAACGTGTTAAAGGCAAGTAAAGATATCTTGCTGACAGGATATATGGTTTGAACATGTGGTTTCTTATGTAGCAAACGTCTCGGGTTCTCCTCAGACTCGCGCATGCGGTCTGCCACATTTGTTGAGCTTTTCACAAGGAAACTGTTCTCACCTGCATGTAAACAATAATCTTTTATTTCACCCCTAGTAAAAACCAGCTAGAATCCCAGTAAGCAATTTTGCATTTAAAAGACTACAGATTGACCATGTCATGAAATGACAATATCTTGTAGATATTATTGACATTGGTAACATGATGGGATATCAAAACTACTGTACAATGAATCAGTTTTGACTGAGTTTTGATAAGAAATGAAACCAAACACCTTGTAATCTCTGTTGACTTTGCTAACATGATGGAATATCATACATCTCGCAAGTTATTTTGGCAAAAACGACATGTAACCAAACTCAGGGTTATTTTGTTTAGAAGTGGGTTACTCATAGCCAGATTATACCGGGTCTATAGTTAACCGAGACGGTGAAATGACAGCTATTGCATGCTGGGATGGATTTTATTTGCATTTTCTTAGACTGCAAAAAGTAGGGCAACCACACGACCTTGGGTGTGTAAGCAGCGCAAGACACCACCACCACATGCTGTCACAATACTATAAGCCTCAATGAAACTGGTAAACTGGGAAACTGTGCATCACCCAAAGACGGCTCACTTTGAACCTTTTATTCCCACTATTCCCAAGAGATCGGTGCAGTTGTGCTGCCAGATCTGAAAGCGAGAAGGACAACCACAAACAAATTCAAATCCTTGTTCATATACACTCACCGGCCACTTTATTAGGTACACCTGTCCAACTGCTCGTTAACACTTAATTTCTAAGCAGCCAATCACATGGCGGCAACTCAGTGCATTTAGGCATGTAGACATGGTCAAGACAATCTCCTGCAGTTCAAACCGAGCATCAGTATGGGGAAGAAAGTTGATTTGAGTGACTTTGAACGTGGCATGATTGTTGGTGCCAGAAGGGCTGGTCTGAGTATTTCAGAAACTGCTAATCTACTGGGATTTTCACGCACAACCATCTCTAGGGTTTACAGAGAATGGTCCGAAAAAGAAAAAACATCCAGTGAGCGGCAGTTCTGTGGGCGGAAATGCCTTGTTGATGCCAGAGGTCAGAGGAGAATGGCCAGACTGGTTCGAGCTGATAGAAGGGCAACAGTGACTGAAATAACCACTCGTTACAACCGAGGTATGCAGCAAAGCATTTGTGAAGCCACAACACGCACAACCTTGAGGCGGATGGGCTACAACAGCAGAAGACTCCACCGGGTACCACTCATCTCCACTACAAATAGGAAAAAGAGGCTACAATTTGCAAGAGCTCACCAAAATTGAACAGTTGAAGACTGGAAAAATGTTGCCTGGTCTGATGAGTCTCGATTTCTGTTGAGACATTCAGAT